ATTAATAGAATTCGATCGGAAATACGAATATTGTAGACTTCCCTCCGGCCTTAAGAATGCCCCCAGTATTGTCCAAAGGGCCACTGATGATGTCCTGAAGGAACAAATTGGGAAATCATATTATGTTTATGTTAACGATGTCATCATTTTCTTTGAAACAGAAGAAGATCACGTCAAACATATTGAATGGGTATTGGACAAATTATATTCTGCCAATATGAGATATTCCCGGGAAAAATCACATTTTTTCAAGAAAGTGTTGAATATCTTGGCTTTATAGTTTCCAGAAATGGTATAAAAATGAATCCAGAGACATCCATCCTCAAGTATGAAAAACCTGAAACACTTCTTAATGTAAGGTCAGTTCTGGGATTGGCAAGCTATACGGATGCTTCATTAAAGATTTCGCGTCTATTGCCATGCCACTAACCGATATTCTAAAATGCGAAAACGGCAAAGTTAGTGCTTCTCAATCGAAAAGAATAAAAATAAATCCTAATGAGGGGCAACTCCAAACGTTCGAAAAAGTTAAAGAAATACTTGCATCTGAGAATGTGATTTTACAGTAAACAGATTACAAAAAACCATTTGATTTAACAACGGACGTCTCCTCTGCTGGTTTAGGTGCAGTCTTGTCCCAAGACGGAAAGCCAATAACCATGATTTCGAGAGCTTTAAAACACAGAGCATTAAATGTTGCTACAAATGAAAGGGAACTGCTCTATTTCGGATCGCAATTCAAACGCCAAAATTAAACGATGAAAAGCATTCATCGACGAGCACAATGCAAAAATCTTTTGCAAACCTGGAAAAGAAAATTATGTAGCCGGTGCCTTGTCCCGACAACATATTCACGACTTAGAAGAAGACGTACATTCGGATATTGCTACAGTGCATAGCGAGTTGTCGCTCACTTACACAATTGAAAAGACAGACAATCCAGTAAACTGTTTTCGGAATCAAATAGTAATAGAAGAAAGCGGAAGTGATTCAGTAAGAACAACCATTATGTTTGGTAAGAAAACACGACATTTCTTGTATTTCTCAGGTAGAGAAACTCTTTTTCAAAGAATATTTGATGTAGTTAAAAGTGATGTGGTAAATGCAATTTTTTGTGATTTAAAAATACTGGCATTTATTCAACACAGATTAGTGGAAACATTCCCGTCAACTACATTCCGTTACACTGACCGCATGGTAACTGACATTTTTGATAAAAATGAACAAAAATAAATTACTGTCTTAGAGGACAATAGGGCACATAGAGCCGCCCAGGAAAATGTAAAACAAATCCTACAGGACTATTTTTCACAAAAATCACGACAATAGCGAAAGAGGTGGTTTCAAACTGTAAAATATGTCGAAATGCTAGATATGATCGACGCCCCAAGAGGCAAATTCTTGGAGAAACTCCCATTCCTTCATACACTGGGGAACAGATGCATATTGACATCTTCTCAACTGACAAGAAATACTTTCTCACTTGCGTTGATAAATATTCAAAATTCGCAATTGTTCAATCAATCGCTTCCAGAACAATTATAGACGCCAAATCCGCCATTTTACAGCTTATGAACAATTACCCGAGGACAAAAACAATATATTGTGACAACGAAGCATCTATTAATTCTGAAACAATCAAGTCTATTTTACATAATCGATTTAATGTAGAAATATACAATGCTCCAGAATATTCAGCTGCAAAGGTTAAAGCAGACAAGACAAAACAGACTTTTCAAAGTAGAGTACAATGTCCTCGTAAAGTCAAATTAACGGTTAGGAAATAAACTTACGCATTTGTACACCTTAGAAACAGTCGAAACAGACTTGGGGACCACAGTCTTAATAAAAGGGAGGGTGGTCCATAAAGACAATTTGAAGTAATTAACATAATGTTTACTTTTGTTTTTCTTAATATCATTAGAATCTTGAGTTCCAGTTTTATTCTCAGAATTATACTCTTCTTTTGTATTATCGATTTCATCGCTTTCGGTAAATACCGTATCTTCATTGTTCTTAGCATCCAACAACTCATTATCTTTCATAGAATCTACCGTCTCTTCATCATCCACTAACAGCTTATCCAGATCGTTATTATTTTCTTCTTCCAATAATTTATCAGCGTCCTCGAGAGGAACGTTTTCAGTGATAGTAAAAGAGACTGAGAATCTATTTTCCCAGATCACACATGAAACAGCTATTGGACTCGTATATACGACAAATGAAGACGGTTATAAAAACACTAAAGATTCATCATAGGCAGATAAGCATTAACACTAAAACAATAAAAAGTTTGATAAATAACGAAAAAAAAAAACAGACAAACACAGAATATTTTTATGAGAAACTACTATCAAGAAATGGAATTATTATCATGGAATTTGAAAACCTAATGTTATATATCACTCTTTCAAAATTAGGAATAATTATCGCGTCAATTTTAGACTCCAATGATTTGTAGAAATTAATCAATGAGCTCTCTACAAATATCACTATTACAGATATTATTGAAGTGTCTAATATTATGGTCGTGTTAAACGAAAATTTTGTACATTTTATAGTAAAGTATCCTAGGCAACATTCTGTAGAGAACAATACAATACAACTTATGCGCAACAACTTCATTCTGAAGAGATCGCGCAGTGCACCACTCGCACTAGCCATCTCGAAACGTTAACAGTTATAGATGATTGCGTTATCATAATTAATGATAAAATGGTTATCATAAATGGACAACCAGTGAACGGCACGACTCTCATTACGTTTGATGAAGAGGTAACGATTAATAACTCCATATAGGGTAAGTGCGCCTAAGTACGTCTTGTCCCAGTAGTCGGCAGTTTTGAAATTTAAACTTAAATAACTAAGAATAGAATTGACCAAATAATGAAAGAATTGCAAAAAAAAAAACGTCAGTAGTGTTTTCTGCTCTCTTTCTGTTAAAAAACAATGAGCTCCGATAATTTATTACGAGAGAATAACGGTTTTCGTCAGTGAGTGTCTTCCAACTCGTGCGATAGTGCTTGTTTGTAAAGAAAAAAATTGTGTTGGCGTCAACTTAATAATCGATTTAAGTAAATTAAATTTAATACTTTTGGAATCAGAAATTTTTTATAATAGTAAATAATAGTCTAAAGATCATTTTATAACTTATAAACATACAAATCAAACATTTTCTGTTAAATTAATTAATGCCGACATTAGGAACAAAAAAGAAGAGATTTTCCAGTAGTCGGCAGGGGGTGCCGATTACTAGAAAAATATCATTTTTCACCAATTTCACCAAAACTTGAGAATAGTATTAAAAAATAATCCAAAAACTACTCAAATAAAAAAATAGTTTTGAGTCGGCAGTTGCTTTTACTTGTGCTTTTTTACCAACTTTTCTAAATTAAGTAGGTTGTTTAAGCAGCTATTTGACGTTTTTTGAAAAAAAAAAAAATATTGGCTTTCTTAAGGAAAAATATCAATTCACAAATTCCAAATATAAGAAGGTACTTTTTTTCTTTTTTTTTAATCTCATCTTTATTTTAATTGAAAATCCATACGTTGATGAAGGTAACCATACTATTCTGGATTTTCCACCTATATTTGTTTTAGAATGATAATTAAATAAAACATTATTTAAAAACGAAATTAATTTCAAATTCTGGATTAAACTGTGATTTAGTTGCATTGAAATAAAAAAATTTTCAAAATAATATTTTTTTACTGAAATTCCATATGCCGACTACTGGCAAATAGACATGCCGAGCATTGGAAAATGGTACCGACTATTGGCAAAAAACTACTATTTTAGTAAAATGGCAAATTTTGCCAGTTAATTAAAAACAAATTCAATTTTTGTTTATTATTTCGAAAAGTAAACAAAATTTGGAATCTGAACAACTATATTTTACTGTAATTGAAAGATTTCACTCAGAATGTTAAAAGATTGAAAAATCGAAAATTCTTTAAAGTGCCGACTACTGGTACACTTACCCTACAGGAATTTAAAAAAATTACGTTAAAAAATCTACAGTACCAGCCGTGCTCCTCAACATAACAGGTCATCAAGAAATTCCGAGTTTGCCATACTTACAAAAACTGAATTTGAATAATTTACGGTACATTGGCGAAATGGAGAATAAACTTTTGAACTCACCTATTATGTCTGGAGTAAACACTGTAACCTTCTTGATCAGTTGTTACGCTCTTTTCAAATATTACCAGAAACGTCAGAGAGTCTGACTACAACGTGAGATTCAAGTTGTTATTGACAGTTTCAGGAAGCTCGAGGAGTCTCCCATCAATAAGTTATCGTCAAGTAAAACACGCGTTGACGGCATGGTGTTGGTGCTAAGTCATCACTTATTGCAGACATCATACGATGAAATCCTTGCAACCCGATACTTCAACATCCAACTCTAGCAAGTAGCCAACTGCTTTTTTTCTAGCTTTTGGTTCGATTTGGATAAGAATAAAGAGCACAACGCCCAACGGCTTGTGGAAATAAAAATTCATTCAATATCAACTCATTTATTATTGCAAAAGGCACAACGTCTTACGACTCGCCATAAGCAATTATTTAACTTATATATGTACACATACGATCGTCTGTGTAGTTTTTATATTGTCGTCCTAAGTGATTTACAGCCTGTTCCACGATCTCGAAAGAAAATTTGTGCGAACGAAGGCTACTCACTCACTTTCGTATAAGAATGCGTTCCACTAACTTTCGTTCTTTCTTTCGCATAGCCTTACGTGATTCAGTGTTGCAAAATATTTTTTGGCAAAATTAATCGCGAAATAAGGCAAAAAAAAGCGCCAAATGTCTAATATAAACGCGAAAAAGCAGCAGTGGCTCTGTCTCAACTGACAGTTCAGTTGTAAACAAACAAATTGTAAATAAACAAACAAAATAAAATTTCTAGTGATTGTGTTCAGATTATTTGTGTTCTTAAAAAAGAAAAAAATGAATATTTCTGTAGCCCTATTTTTTATGGATGATGAGGAGGAGGTTCAAATTGTGCCACGGAGGCATTTAAGAGATGCTTCGAATTTATTTGAAGTACCTAACAACCAGTAAGTATGATTGTATTTTTACATTTTTAAAATAATAAAAAAATGATTTTTTCTAGGTTTGTGTCTTCCAGTGGTCTTCATGGGATTGCCTGCTGCTTCCAAAAATTGGCACTCCTCTGGCGAACTTAGGATTCTCCCCCATATACTCAACTATTGCCCGCAGCTGTGTAGTTTTTTCGTGCTGGAATTGAGAAAATAAAAAAATATATATTTGTTGTTCACAGATTAAATTGCATTTATTATTTTTACTTACATTTTTCTTTCCATTTTCAATCAAGAAATGTTTATGTTAAAACAATTTTCCTTAATTTTTATCATTCGACAGCAAACACACAAGTGACTGATTTTGACATTTGTGTTCGCATGCGTACGAAAGAAAAAAGATAGTGGAACGCAAAATTACACTGAAACGATTACGTTTTCGTTCGCTTTGATTTTCGAGCAAATTTTCGTTCTGATGGATTTTAGTGGAACGGAAATCAGCTGTTTGTCGTGTAAAAGTTGTGCGAACGTGTTCTTTCGACATCGTGGAACAGGCTGTTAGTGTTTAAAATGTAACTATACATATTTTACAATAACCAGTAAGAAAATGGTCTGCAGTTAATACTATTGTGTTTTAATTGCATGACATTTTGCTATATGAAAATGGAAGACCACGTTATAGATTTGTTTGTCGATTAAGGATCGAATTCACAACTACAATAAGATGTGCAAAAATTAGATACTGTTCATAATTCCAACATGACTTCAAAAACAAAAAAATGCAAAGTCTACAATTATAGTAATAAAAAAATTACGAAATGGTCTGCCAAGAGACCATCCCAAATTGTTGCTAATTTTCACTACCAGTTCAGCCTTTTTATACCCTCCACTATACTATGGAGGGTATATTAACTTTGTCATTCCGTTTGTTACTCCTCGAAATACTCATGTCAGACCCAGCAAAGTGTATATATTCTTGATCAGCGTAAAATTCTAATTCTAATTTAGCGATGCCCGTCTGTCGTAATCACGCTATCTTTCGAATGAATTGAGATAGATGGCTAAAATTTTTGCACACATGCTTATTTTTCCAGTAGGCAGGTTAAGTTCGTGAATGGGCCATGTAGGTCCACGTTTTCATATAGCCCCCATATAACGGTGCCTTCCGATATTCTGTATTTTGACGATTTTATCGACATTATTCCCCGGAATTGTTTCAAATTTGATATTTGAAGTTCGAAATGAATACTACATCCTAAGACGGAAAATTGTCTGTGCAAGTTCACGTATTCGTATAGCCCCCATATAACGGTACCTCCCGATATTCGGTATTTTGATGATTTTAGCGACATTATTCACCGCAATTGTTTCAAATTTGGTATTTGAGATTCGAAGTGGATGCTACACCCAAAGACAGAAAATTGTCTGTGCAGGTCCACATCTTCGTATAGCCCCCATATAACGGTACCTCCCTATATTCGGTATTTTGATTATTTTAGCGACATTATTCACCGGAATTGTTTCAAATTTGGTATTTGAAGTTCGAAATTGATACTACACCCTAAGACGGAAAATTGTCTGTGCAGGTCCACGTCTTCGTTTAGCCCCATATAAACCGTACCTCCCAATAATTTATGATTTTAGCGTCATTATTCACCAGAATTGTTTCAACTTACGTATTTAGAGTTCGTTATGGGAACTACAGCCTGTGACAGAAAATTGTCTGCGCAGGTCCAGGTCTTCGTATAGGCCCCATATATCAGTACCTCCCTATATTCGGTATTTTGACGATTTTAGGTACAATACCCACCGAAACTGTTTGATTTGTGGTATTTGAAGTTCGTGATGGATGCTACAGCCTGTGACAGAAAATTGTCTATGCACGTCCAGGTCTTCGCACAGCTCTGATATAACGGTACCTCCCTATATACGATGTATTGATGATTTCAGCTGCATTATTCACCCTTTATTTCAAGTTTCGAATTTGAATATGTTAATGGCTTATGACAAACAATGCCTATGTAGGCCCACGTTGTATAAACCCCAATATAACGGCTATATTTGGTATTTTTTAAATTTTTATAGAATGTTTTAAAGATTTTATTTTTTGAAAATTTCCAAATTCGTTCCAAATGGTAGAGGGTATTCAAAGTTCGGCCCGGCCGAACTTACTGCTTTTTAACTTGTTTAGTTATGAGCATAGTAACTGTTATAAATTATTTAAAATTGCACTCATTAAAAATAATCTTGCTGACTGACCGAACATAACGTTTGTCATTACCTTTCACAGATATGACCATGTGTCAACTTAAAACTAAAAGCTATGTCTATTGGATTGAATAAATGTTTAGAAAAGAATTTAAGGTAGATGTCAAACAGTTTCGTAGATATCACCCCACCTTTGGGAACCCCCTGTTTCTAGGAATATTTGACATCTGATTTTTGAATGGCACCAACAACCGATATCAATACATGTAGTTGACAACCCAACGTGCTCAAAGAGTATGGAGTGGTGAACTGTGAACTGTGGAGTGGAACAACTGTGAAAAAGTCATGTAAAGCTTTTGTTGTGCTATGAAGTTGCGTTGGTGCCTCTCCCTTTTTCTGTGGAGGAGTAACGTCCACGCGCCTTCGTTACTGGCGGCAAAAGTAACATCTGCCTGTATAGTGATTCATACAGGGCGTCCTTCTATAGCTTCAGTTGTTAACTTTACGCTACTGATGACATACATATGTAACACATGACATTTAACTTCTTAACTTCTGGTGCCGCCCCGGCATGGAGAGATCGTATAGGGCGTAAAATTATTCTCTTAGCCCTGTAATTCGCTCACCTCTTCGGAAATTTGGTTTTATCTCAGTTATTCGATCAGCAGGTACTGGGTGAGATGAAAAAACTGCAACCAACTTCAGATTGCTGTCATTTCTAAGCCACCTTTCCGACAGCTGACATTATTCCAGTGACAGCTCATTATATTGTTTACAAGCGTACAATAGCATTTTGGTGAGAACTTTTTAGAAAAAAAGTAATTCGTGATGGAATTCAAGCGTGATAGTGCGATTTCTTTATGTTTGGCTGGAAAACCACAAGTGGGTATCGTTAGAGCACTCCAACATTTAAATGTGAATAAATATTTTGTGTCTCGTACCATCGCTCGTTACCTTAATACTGGTAACGTAGCCCGACGTTAAGGAAGTGGACGGAAGAGAACAGCAACATCAGCAGAAATGGTTCGAGAAGTAAAGAAGCGGCTTGATCGAAGCCCGCTTCGCAGTGCCGATCACCTCAAGCAAGCGCTTAGCCGGGAATGGGCCGATATACCGCAGAACAACATTCGGGCAGCGTGTGACGGTTTCATTGGCCATTTGAAGGCCATAATTCTTGCCAAAGGTGACCAATTCGAACAAATCTAAATTTATTCTAAAATTTGATGCTATGAGGAGGTGGCCTGAGACTAGAGAAATTTCGGATTGTCAGGTTATATCATTTGTCATAAAATGGGGCTATATGGGTCATCATATGACTGTACCGACAGTGTTAAGGTATTTCGGGTGTTTTAGCCAAAATTTTAACCCGATGTTTTTGTTGTGAATTGGCAAAATGTGTTTCCATTACGTAAGAAACGTCCTTGCATAGAAATGTTAATGAATGTCTGAGTTTTGGTTTAGTCCCCGTATAAATATACCATAATATGTTCGTTATTTTAATGATTTGTGTCGCTCTTTTGTCGAATTTGAATTTCCTAGGAGTACTACATCTCTTGATAGAAAGCTCCTCATACATGTCCACGTTTTTGTTTAGCCGCCATATGACAGTACCTACCTATATTCGGTTTTTTGATGATTTTAGCGGCATTATAAAACGGAATTTTTTCAAATATCATATTGTAAGGTCGTAATGGGTACTAAATATATTAATATTATTTCGACAATTTGCTAGACAAGTTGCCAGTTTCTTTTATATATATATATATATATATATATACATATATATATATATATATATATATATATATATATATATATATATATATATATATATATATATATATATATATATATATATATATATATATATATATATATATATATATATATATATATATATATATTATTCATTATCAGTGAACGTAATAATAAACATATTCTTTTTTCTTATGTACTTCTAGTGTTCGAAAGTATTCATCAACAAGAATGGATCAAGCAAGGATATGTCGTGTTCGAATTGCGGCACGATAACTACAACTATATGGAGAAGAAGTGTGCATGGGGAAATAGTGTGCAATGCTTGTGGTCTCTATTTTAAACTGCATGGCGTTAATAGACCACATTCTATGAGGAGGGATACTATACATACTCGCCGAAGACGCCCCAAAGATTCCGAAAAATCGGAAAAAGTAAGCGTGACTAAAATCAAAGGCAGACAATGACTTGGCACATGTGTATTTTTTCCCTTGGTACAAACTGTTGATATATTTTACATTGATTTGTGTGCAACCTTATTGCAAATTCAAATAATACTCTACTGACATGGATAATTGATTTTAATAGGTGGATATTCTATATTTGGATTTAAAAATATTCCCTACTGTAAGTAATTTCCACTCCAGGTTTTTGCAAGTAAAGAAAGACACTTAAACATGAAATTGCATTATTCCCGTAGTTCTTATTTATGATATAATTTTAACAAAAATAAATCAAAGTATTTCTTTGCTTTAATAATTTATTTTCTTACTGTGTTTTATGGGGGAAATGACGATAAATTTCGTTAGATACAAAATTCGGTTCATGAAAAGGCTTTTGTCCCAATGCGGAAACGTTTTTCAAACAGATAAGTTAATGCCGGGATCAACATAACGATCCACCTCTAAGTTTAACATATTTTTCCATGAATGACCATTGAGAATAAACTGTAATAATATATAGGGTTGTCCATATTCCACGGACCCATCTGGCAACGCCATAATTTTTGACAGAGATGTCACATCGCTTAATGACATACAGCGTTTGAAGCGTCAGTCCAAGCTGATTTTTACCATGAACCATTACACGCCACGCGAAATAGTTGAAATTTACATTCAACAGAAGAAGTCAATTGTGAAAACTCAACGTGGTTTTAAAACATTAATAAATGTGAGAAGTGCGCCTTCTAAGAACACCATTAAGCGTTTATACGAAAAATTTTCGACTGGTAAGGCTCTTTCTAATCCGAAGAGGCCATATAAAAGTCGACCAAGGCGATCGGCCGAGAATATCGCTGCCGTACGAGCCAGTGTTGAGAACACTGGCAAGAACATCCCAAAAACGCCGTTCTCAGCAGTTGGACATGGCTCGGTCTACTTTACAACGTATTATTCGCATTGATTTGTATTTGTTCCCGTACAAAATTCAAATGACGCAAAGACAGTTGCCTGCGGACAAGCCTCGTCGATTGGAATGGGCCCAAAGAGTCATGGGTCCGTCGAATATGCGCAACCCTGTATTGTATCTAATAAACGGAAAATTAAGGCATTTAATATACGCATATTATAAAAGTTGACTAAATAAATGTATACTAAACATCACACAACAAAATATGTCCATTTGCTATGAATTACTAATGAGTTTGTGTACGACAAATGTTGATTCTTAATATTTGATCAACACAAAACTGTGAGTAAATAGATTGTTGAAGAATTTATAGGCCCTACATAGTAGCTTCAGATAAGAAACAATACTTATCCCTTTGATATAGTCAACATTTACATTTAAAAATGTAAAAACTGAGGCCAAAAAGCATAAAGTGGAAAAATTAGCCATCTATATGCAGTTTGTCAAATATACGACAAATTCGTAGAAAATGTCGTTAACACTATGAAACCAGATCCTGTAATCGAATAGTAATATGATTTTAAAAGAAGGAACAATTAAAATACACCGCAAACATTATTGCTGTTAATTTCTAGACTTATCATTTACTCGTGAAATAGTGAAATTATTTTAATTTTTTCACTGCCAAAATGTGTTTCGATTTGAATGGGATAAATTGTTTCGTAAGTTTTCATTTAAATTTGTGCACCAATTTTTTGTAATTTTTATAGAAGGGTATGTTAACTTTGTCATTCCGATTGTAACATCCCTAAAAATTCTTCGTAGACCCCATAATGTACATATATTAATTTGTAGAATTATCATTTATTCATGAAGTAGTGAATAACATAACGATGCATTATAAATGTAGAAAATTAGAAATTGAACAGTTGTAGAGAAATTATTTTAGTTTTTTGATTGATAAATTGTGTTTCACGTTGAACGGGATAAATTGTTTCGTAAGTTTTCTTTTAAATTTGTATACGAATTGGTTTGTAATTTTCATACCCTCCGTCTGTCTATCTGTTGAAATTACGATGCAGCCGACATTATTTGACGTAGAGCCGCAAAACCTCACAGAAAAAGTTTAAGACACACATTTCTGACCTTGGCTACTCCAATTATGTCTCCTAATGCCTGTTTAATAGGATTTAAATCAAGATTAGGATGGACCATTTATGGACCCAGAAATAGTTCTTCAAATATGACTTGTAAACGTGTTTTTATGACAAACCGAGAATGGAGAATTATATGAGAAATATAATGGAAAAAGTTTTAATACAGAAACGTTTGGAGTGAAATCATACTCCAAAATTGTTATATCGGATGAGGGTAGACGTGCTCTAAGTATTCTAGAAAGTTTCACGCATAGGACGGATGACATATTTACTTTAGAAGGAGGATTTATTTTGTATTTCAATATTGTGAAATATTGAAGATTACCCAAAAACGTTTTATTTAAAACACTTTGGGGTTATTAATGGTAGTAAACCAGGTCTCCGTCTTGTGTTCAACGCTGCTCAAAGATTGATGGAACGTCTTTCAACGATGCATTCCTTCAGGATCCATATTTGAATAAACCACTACTTGAAATATAAATGAAGTGCAGTCAGGCACAAGTCGCGGCTGTTGCTGATATAAAGAAATGTTTCTTCAAGTACAAGCAGCGAAAGAGGATGAATTATTTTATGGCGTCTACGAGATGCTTCTGTCTGTCGGTCTCTTGAAATCACGACACAGCCCACATCATTTGACGTAGAGCTTCAAAATTTGGCACAACAATTTGCATTGTGGGATAATTGATATTGAAAATGAGACATAACAGTCTACGTCTTCCTATTGCACCCATATAACCATACCTCCCGATGTTCGGTAGTTTGATAATTTTTGACACCTCTGCCACAGATTTGTCCAAAAATTGATATTTGTCATAATGGTTTCTAGTTTTGTTCGTTCGTTCCCACGCCTCTCACACCCTCCCCTGCCTACCGAGGGGGCCACCTCCCTATACGTAGAGAGCGCGTACATACCAAAGTCCAGACTAAAACGGGTAAGCACTGATTTCACACCGGTTAGAGAAACTACATCAGCCAGTGAATAAAATAAGAGGGAAGTTACAGAAGACACACACACAGATTTGTCAACATGAATTAACAAGGTACATATTTCTACAATCGCTGCTCATTGGCTGTGTCTACTTTACCGCAAAGAGAAATGTAGATCAAATGTCAGATGATGAAGCAGTTTAGTAATGTATAACAGATCTTATCTATCTCATATTTATTACTACTACTCTAAGGAGAGTTGTAGTAGTTCCGCTTGGGGAGATAAAGATACGATGCCGTAAAATAAATATTTGAAAAATTAAAAAATAAAACAAAGTGACATCATAGGGTTTTTAAGCTAATAGTTAGTTCCCGCAAACGATAACTTTAAAGGTTCGAAATTACGAGGTATACGAGAAGGAACATTATGGTTTATTTCAGCTATAATAAATGGAGAATCAATAAGACCGCGTAATAATTTAATGATAAATAGTGCTCTTAACAGGGTCAATTAACAACAACCGACTCCCACAAAGTGGAAGAGGTTCGGAATTTGAACTGATTCAATTTTATCAGAGTAAAATTTATAAAATGGGCACCACAATATACAGTCATATTCTAATACTGGACGCACCAAGCTAACGGATAATGTTTTACTTACATAAGGGTCATCAAACTCTTTAGACCAGCGCAATAATCAATATGCAAATGAAACCGAAGCTTAGGATCTAATATTACGCCCAAATCAATGAAAGATTCAACATTATCCAATTTGTAGGAGCCAATAAAGTAGTTAGATAGTAAAGATATGGACCGAAAGAAAGACAAATGTTTGCATTTTTTAGATCAAGAGTCTTACCATTTGCTCTACGCCAGTTTACGAGTGAGTGTAAATCGTGTTGTAAGGAGATTTGATCGCTAATTTGTGTGAATAAGCGTACATTAAAATTTTGGACAAACGAATTACGTTTGGAAGACCATTTAGGTAAAGAACAAATAGTAATGAGTCTAAGTGACTTTGGTACACCAGATGAAGAGAAATCATTAAAAATAACTCTTTGAGTACGATTTTGTAAGTAGGAGGGATGTTGGGAAAACCATTACATCTAGTTTATGAAGAAATAGCTTTTCAATTACCATATCAAAATTTTTCTAAAATCAGTATAAATAACATCAGTCTGTTGCTTATGCACAAAAACATTTTCAACTTGCCAAACAAATTCTAGATTGGTAATCGTAGATCTACCTATTATGAAACCATGTTGACAAGGCGAAATTATGCTTTTTATGTAGTGTGATATTCTTCGTGATACCAAAAGTTCGAAGAATTTAGGAATGGCGTTTAATTTAGCGATACACCTATAATTATCGATAAAACTCTTGTTTCCTGATTTATGCAGGGGAATAACAATGCTCGACCGCCAGTATAAAAAATATCCTTTAAATAGGGAAAATTAACAATTTTAGTGAGAGGTACAAAAAAATTCACTGTAGCAAGATTATAAAATGTACATTGGTAACAAAACATTGTATGTATAGGTTCACGTTTTCATATATTCCCCATATAACGGTACATCCCGATAGTCGGTAGTTTGATGACTTTAGCCACATTTCCCACAGATTTGTCTAAATATTGGTATTTGTAGGACATAATGAGATCTACTTCCGGTAGCAGAACATTGAATATCTAGGTCCATGTTTTCCTATAGTGCACATACAACGGTACCCACTGATTTTCGATATTTTGATTATCCTAGTCACATCTTTTTTCAAATTTGGTATTAAAGACTCGCAATAGGTAAAAATCGTTATAATATAAGGTTATATATAGTGGCACCAGTTATGGTATGGCCCCATATAACGGCCTCATTAACCTTAAGGTTTTTTTTATAAATTTAATTGTATTATGCAAGCGATATATAAACAGCTTAAACATTTCGCATGGCATATTTTTTGACACATCATAAAGAGATGTCAGAATTCTGCCGTCGTTTCGCTTTATAATTTGACATTAATGCCCAGCCATGATGTGAAGCTTCTTATGTACACTCACCATTACATGAATGTGAAGTTATAATTTTGAAATTAAATCCCATTAAAATTTGTGCCTTTGTTTCAATTAAAAATACATAAACCTCGCACATTAATTGGTGACCCCGCGTTTTAAACCGTTGAATACAAAAAAAAAAAAACAAATACAAAACTAATGTAACAATGCCCAATTCCGCGGACAATTCGGATCAATTAGCAGATGGTCGGAATGAAAATTATCAAGCCCGTAATGTTGCTGCTTCTAGTGTCCACAAGCTGCCTCCATTCTGGAAAGAAAATC